CTCTCCTTCTCTTTCTTCTTCTTCTCCTCTCTCTCTTCTCTCTCTTTCTCTCTTCTCGCTCTCTCTTTCTCCTTCTCTCTTCTTCTCTCTCTCTCTTTCTCTCTCTCTTCTCCTCTCTTCTTTCTCGCTCTCTCTTTCTCTCTCTCTCTTTCTCTCTCTCTCTTCTCTCTCTTTCTCTTCTCTCTCTCTCTCTTTCTTCTCTCTCTTTCTCCTCTCTCTTTCTCTCTTTCTCTCTCTCTTTTCTCTCTCTCTCTTTCTCTCCTCTTCTTTCTTCTCTCTTCTCTCTCTTCTCTTCTCTCTCTTCTCTCTTTCTTCCTCTCTTTTTCTCTCTCTTTTCTCTCTCTCTTCTTTTTCTCTCTCTCTCTTCTCTCTCTCTCTCTTCTCTCTCTCTCTTTCTCTTCTTCTCTTCTCTCTCTCTTCTTTCTCTCTCCTCTTCTTCTTCTCTCTCCTCTTTCTCTTTTCTCTCTCTCTCTCTTTCTCGTCTCTCTCTTCCTCTCTTCTCTCTCTCTCTCTTTTTATCTTTCTCCTCTTTCTCTTTCACGATTAGAGATTAGTATTTTGATTTAATTTTGTATTTAGATTAGAGTTTTTAAGTGTCCTTCAACTTCTTCAAAAAATTTAGTAATTTAGAGGTTTTAGGGCTGAGAGGAAGTATAAATTAAACTCTTGCAATCATACTCATTAAGTGTTATCAATGTACAGAATTTTTTGTGGATCTGAACATTCATTTGATCAAATAAAACACAATTTGATGGGAGTAATGTAGTCATTCACAAGGGCAGTACCTGGTCCTCTACTGTTCTATTACAGTAAATGATTTTTCCCCAAAACTATAATTTATAAATTAATATTCATATGCAGATAACTCTTCAGTTGTTAGTAATGCTAAAGACTTAATTACACTGGAATCAAAAATGACAAAATCATGGAAAGTGAAGAAATTAACAGAACATGTATTTTGCTACTTCAACTTGAATAATTTAATGGTAAATGCTAAAAAAACATATAATGTACTTCAATTCATGAAACTCTAAGACTTGAAATAAACTAACACATGAATGTAAAAATGGAACTATTAAAACAAGTTTATTGCCATAAATTTCTTGAATATATTTAATGAAAAGCCTAAACTTTCTATTAACACATAAATGAAATAAGTAATTAAAATAAGTTCAAAATGTTATTAATGAATTCTACGAAATACATGACAACAGATATACACTTTAAAATATATTATGGAAATACATCCATATATTGTATATGCAATAGAAATAGGTAGCATACAATGAAGTTCACACACAGTTTTAAACTGTTTTTGAGCAAAGATTTTCAAAACAAACTCGTAATAAGTTACTACACACACACAACATACCTCACTGTAATACCCCTTATCCTTAAATCATTTACCTTTCCAGGAAAGATATCCAGCTCACACTCCATAATAATGATGCGTTAACACTAGAGGCAAAGAGAATACCATGGATGTTTACATCTAGGGCCTCCACCAAGTAACCAGACAGAGCATCTTATTATATAAAATCTTCCTAAAAATAGTTAAAGAGTGTATGTGAAAAAGGAAATTCAATGATTTTGTTTAAAAAGTTTTAATAGGAATGTGCTTCATAAATTAAAAGAAACTAATGCGAACGAAAATTATAAGTTTTAATAAAGTTATTTTTATGTCTATGTCCTTAAGTATTTTATGTAGTATTTTTATGAAATTGTTATTCTGTTTAATTTTGTTTTAATACGTTTTTAATATGTTGACTGTACTTGAAATTTACCACTGTGGCAAATAAAAAATATATTATTTTTACGGTGGCCCAAAGTTCAATCCCAAAATGTTCTGGCAAACAAAGCAATTTGATTTGTCTAGAAAAAAACATTTGTATTATCAACTCGTGAGTTTGTCATCTTTACTATTTATAACTACAATTCCCAGTTTTAGACTTTCAAGGGCAGTTTGAATTCTATATTTATTAGTTTCTTTATACAGTATTTTTTATCTCTAATAAGTGTCACTTAACATAATATATTACAGAATAATCTTAATGAATACAAATATGATGGAGTGTGTATGATGAATTGCAATTGTTCTGATTTTCAGGTGGTGGTTGTCAAATGCCAAGAGTGCCACCACATTAGTTGAAAACGGAAACAAGGGAGGAAGCGTTCTTTCTTACCTATACCCATTGAACACAGTGTTTTCACCCAAGACCTCCGAAAATTGAACAAGGTGATAGTCTGTTTGTGGAGTGAGGAACAATTTGTTCATTTTCAATTCTATTCCTTAACAAACCTCAAATGAGAACAAACAAGTTCAAATTGGGAATGAACGCAATCGAATTGAGAATAAAACACATCATAAAGAACCTTCATCTTCCAAATTGAGACTAGTAATTTAAATTGAAATCAATTTGAAGTTACTTTGTAATGCAAATTTGAGGTCCAAACAATGTAAATAAATAAATAAAATGACGAAATTTTGAGACAATTCTCAGACCAACTTTATGAACATATTAATAATAATTGCATATCCAAAATGTCTTCTTTTATGACACAAACACATTATCCAAAATCATTTTTTTAACAACAATTAATTTTTATAACGTATATTCTAATTAAAGCATTAGAATGAATCTTTGGACATGAGCGACATAACTTCGCAACATTATTAGCATTGTTACTTGAATATTTGATTATAAGCATTTTCCAAACTGATTAAGACGAAACTGTTTGCGATAATTTTGCCCTGTCTTCATCAGTTAAAATTTGTGGCATTTTTGCACACAATCTCGTATAACAGCAACCTTGAGGCTAGTACAAGCATTTTTCAATAGGATTGAAAATGGGGTGTAAGGCTGACCCTTAGTATGAAATATTTCTTTCACACCACAGTGACTGGCAGCATTATCAATCTACACACAGCATAGAGTGGTAAGACATTGAATGCAGTAGGCAGGCAATGCAATTGGCGCAACAGATTCTTAGCTTTCCTCTTTTCTAAAAGTCCCTCAGTTCCTATAGCACTTATGCAACACATTAGCTCTGGTGGCTCCCTGCTGTTTCGTAGCTGCATTTGAAGTACCTTTTTCAAGCTCCTTTTTCTTGGAATAAAAATATAAATTTGTTCATCTATGTATAAAAATACCAGGATCAAACAATCCAAATGTTCCGCAAACATTGTTGGAAAACTGTAATTTGATGGTTTTGTTCTCCTTTTTTTTTAGATCTTTCAATGTAATTTTTGAATTTTCTGAATGTATGTTCAAATGACGGTCCAATGTTCTCATAATTATCTATTTTTTACACCTCATGGTCTTTGGAAGTAATCTTGATTTCACTCAACGATATTTGCGGTCGATTTTTTTACACATGTGTTTTACAATATTGTATCAGCAAGACCTTTCCAATCACCGTATTATTATACACAAAACACACCATTTGCTGTTTTAACAACTTTCAGCTGTCCATTGTATTTATGTATTGATTTACTCTTACGTTTTATCCAGTGGAAGGCACAATGGTTACTACAATCCATACTAAAACCAATACTTGGTTTCTATCATTCTTTTTCTCTCCCGTTTGAAATTGTTTAGTCTCAATCAAAATTGATGGTTCTAAAATTGAATATGCCAATTCCCTAAATATGGTGTTGTTTGGAAATCATTTTGATTGTGTTTCTTCTCAATTTAAGTGAAAATGTGTAGATTGCCATTATTAATTCCTGTAGGGAGGATGGTGCCCTTTCAACAAACAGACTCTTAACAATGAGAACCAAAAATAGGTCTTATCTCTTGGCTCCGACATTAAATATCTGCAACAAAATAATATTAAATACCTCTTATTATGAAAAATTTCAAAATATAACCAGTACATCCAACAGTTCCTCAAAGAGAAAGAGAGAGAGAAAGAGAGAGAGAAAGAGAGAGAGAGAAAGAGAGAGAGAGAAAGAGAGAATAGAATAAAAATATAAAGAATAAAAGTAAAATAGTAATAAAAATAGAATCTGGCATCCAAAATTTTGTATTACGACTATGTCTTAAGGGTAGAATTTGTTTATAAGCTAAATAATTGGCATAAAACCTTAAAAGATTAACATTTACCGCAATTACCGATATTTATGAGGGTAGAGGGAAAAGGCAACAATCAGTTGAAATGTGTTCATTTTGGCTTATTGTTTAAACAATTTCAAATAGCTTGGGAGCACTTTCTACCATCTCACCTGGTCTGATATTTTGAATACAATATATTATCATGATCTATAATTCCCTTACCTTGTTCAGTAGAACGGTGTCATCTACAGCATCCAAAAGAGCAAGGATGATCCAAAAACTGTTTTCTGAAGATGCCAATGTTTCTATATTCCCCTTCATTTTTTTCACAATTTGTTTTCTCACCTAGGCAGATAATAATTTATATTTTAAATTAATTAATTAAACTTGAAGCACTACTAAAGGCAAAAATACAAAAAAGCAGAAACCCAAGAGAACTGTAATACAGAGGAAATGATCTCAAGAATACCCTAACAAAACTACTTGACAAAGCTTAGGAAGAGTATTCACTTCAAAGAGAAAGGCAGATATGTAAAGTCATAAATTTATGTATATTTATAAAATGATTGTAACAACTTTAGAGGAATCTCTCTCCTGTCTACAGTACCAAAATGTTTTATTAATATTTTATGAAATAGATTAAATGAATATAGTGAAAAATTCCTGGGAGAAGAACAAAATATATTTAGAAAGGACAGAAGTACAAAAGATGCTATTTTCACAATACAGACAATCCTGGACAAACGAAATGAAGTGTACCTTCCAACTTTCCTCCCAATAGAGATATAAAAAACCAGAGGACTGACACAGGGGTGTGGGCCATCACCATGTCTATTTAACAGATATGTAAACCACATGATCAAAAAGTGGGAACCGGTATAAATTTAAACAAAAGACAAACGGTCCAAATGATTCTCTATGCAGACGACATACTCCGAACAGTGGAATCAGAAGATTACTTACAGAAGGCAGCAATGAACTTCATAAAATAGCCCTTACATACGACATTAAATTCTTGACAAACAAGACTGAAGCTATGGGATTCCAAAGCAAAGAGACGGGAAGGGTTAAAATTGTTATAGATGGAAAAATATAGAACAATTAGCATAATTTATGTATTTAGGAAACATCATTGGACAAAATTCAGAAGATCAAAAAGGAAAAATTGAAAATATATAACTGGGTAAATGGAATAACCAAGAAAACCTTTGGAAGAGATACAACAGCAGAGACAAAACTAATAATACACAATAAGCCAATGTTAATGTATGGATCAGGAATATAGGCCCTAAAACAAAGAGATGGTCAGAGATTAGAAGCCACACAAATGAGATTTTCCCAGCACCTAGTAGGAATTACATATTTAAAATAGACAAAAACACTGAAATCAGAAAATAAACTAAGCAAAACTAGTGGGGCTTAAACAGCACATATTTTCTTGCCTCTTGGTAACGTTTATGCAATACTAAATATTATACTGCATTTCTCCCATATCAACACATCTAGGAAAATGAGTTGTCAACAAAGCGTGCATGCAGCAATGAGCGCTGCCAACAACAGGCACATATTTTCTTATCAATTCTTCATAAAAGCACAATTTTTCCATAAATGGAATTGTTTTTCAGTTTGGATTGTTGTGTTTTTATGAAAGTTCATCTAAGACATTCTTTATGGAACACTATTGCTTTTTTTGAATACATACAATTATTTTTTGCCATATCTCCAAGACATTTTAAGTTCATTCCTTCCTTTATTCCCCTTTAAATGAAGACTTACACCCAAACAAAAACATAATTAGTCTCATCATAATTCATTAAGAAATTAAACAGTTTTAGATAATTATATTTGACTTAATAAATCTAGTTAAATCTAGATGCTTTGGAGAGCAGTAAAGCAGAAAGCCCTCTAAAATGATTTATCTTCGCTGCCAAGTTCGTACATTCGTTTTTGAAGAGAAAAAAAGTAAATGAACAAAAACTTTTAGAACATGTTTTTTAATTTCCAGCACATCATACAGACAAGGATAATTACACAAATAAATGGAACATCCAGAAACAAATTGCGATCCAATATATCCCGTTATGAATGTCATCATTAACATATCCCATTGTGAATGTTAACATTAACACAATTGCCTGTGTTATAATGTGTGAAACTGAAATGACAACTACATTGACATGAAATGTACCTGAGGGAGCAAAAAACCATATCGCGAAACAAAGTACATAAGGGAAAAAAAATATTTCAATGTAATCCAAATACATACGTTTTTAAGTAACACATTTCTGATTTAATCTATCCAATGATTGTCTATAAATAAAACATGAAAAATAAATAACTAAATAGATGATCAATAAACATTAATAAATGATCTAATAAGCCAGTTCTTATTTTGCATGTTATAATTAAAGAAAAATAAAAGTAGGCAACACTGCATGCGTAACCATCAAGATAAATCTTATAAATTAGAAATGTCTTTAGGCCAGGAAAAAAACACTTAAATCGATAAATATTCCAAATTAATCACCTGGATATTACTTCTGAAATTAATCAATAAACAATTGCCATCTCATTAATTAAATAAAATATTAAGTAATAATTAATAACCTGTATATACTATCAACTAGATATAGTTTCTACGTGGTGTTGCTTGTACTTCACAGTTGCATGCTTTCTTAGATTAAACAACATAATTTTATGAATGATGGCCTAATCAGACAGCACTTAAGAATAAATTGCCTCCAGTGTGAAGAACAATGAACTGCCACCAGGCCTCTACTTCATGTACTACATTCACAAGACTAATTGCAGAATTAAGCAAAAGTGTGAGAAAGCAAAAATAGAATAAATATCGGCACTTTCAATAGGAAGTTGACATTAAAATTGAATTAATTATTTTTCATATCATCCATTCAATTTTTCTCACGGCCCATAGTTGGTATGAAACTATGTTATGGTATATTATGGTATAGTATGATATATTTCATTAATTTCAAGCAAAAATTATGCAAAATGACTCACTTTTCAAAAAAATAGTACCAGACCTTTTTTTCAAAAGCTAATTTTGTACAACAGACTTCTCTACCTTTAATTTTGTAGTTTTAAAATGTTTAGTTTTTAAATTTTCAAAAACTACGCAATACCCGGAAATGATTAACACTATATTTGTTATAATCCCTTATTACATAACTGAAGTAAATTTTAGAAAAAAATTGCAGCAGATTTTGATGGGGGAGGAGTACATTTTAGTCACCAATTTCTTTGTCTCCAATTTTGAATTTCATGTTCCCAAATAATGAATTTTTGTTTTAACTGATTTTCTTCTATCCATCTATCAAAAAGTCAGGGATGTCAATGAAAATGAGACCTGCACCATTATCTCAGACCTCTTAAACATCCTTTGCACTATACAAGAACAAAATTTAGTAAACAAATTTTGAGCCTTTTTTTAAGAAAAATTTCATTGAATGTCCCCAAAATTAAAACATCGGTTTGAAATTCCAGGGTCAGCACATTGAGCCAGAACGACTGGGGTATATCAATTTTAGAAAAAATTGTCTGAAAGGTTTATGCACTAGCATTGTGCACAGAGGGATGAACATATTGCCATCAGTCGATTTTTCTGTATGAAGAACGCTCAAAACATGAATTACACCACTAGGAGGAATATTTTTCTTACTTAGCAACTTAATTTATCCACATTTTCCTCACCAGGGTCCAGCAATAAACCTTTTTTTTAAAAAAAAATTCGCCTTCTTCATATGCATGATTACAATACTTTTTCTTTGTATTTTAGGATATGCGAGAAAGTACAATATAATGGATGACATAAAAAAAAAAAAACAGGAGACTGCTTCCAAATGTGTTAAGACTGCAAATGGAAATGTTTCCTAAAGCATTTTTAAAGAATAAACTCATAGGGTGAAGAAATATAGGTAGACCCAACAAAAGATGGATTGCTCAGAAACATCTGGAGGAATAATCACCAGATCTTCTGTCTTCACAGGAAACGGCACCAGACCTATTATCCTGCTGTTCATGATGTGTGTGATTACTTAACCCACAATGTGTGTTATTAAAGATCATTTTATAGATTCAAAGTCAATTTAAATTTTATAAAATTAACAATAAAAAGAAAATGTAAATAGCTACTTGACATCTCAGTGCATAGAGCACACATATATACTTTCTTGCATTATTTCTAACATTTGCAATTGCTCGCAAAAAGTTTTCTGTTGAAAATGTGCTATTTTCCATCACACAATTACAATTTTATGAAGTAACTGTGCGAACCATGTTTGAATATGTTGTTGAAACTTCATGTAAAAAATTTCCAAAAATCAAAATATAGTTTTCAAATGCACAGTTTTGTGTGCAATTGATCAAAAAATATCTATTTTGAGCCTAATATTTGGTAGAATTTAAGTGCTAGCATTGATAAGAGACAGACATTTTGCTATCAAGCAAGTTTTCGGTATGAAGGACCCACAAATTATGACAACACAAGCGATTACAAAAACCAATTACACAACATGGTAGGGGAATTTATTTACTATCTATAGGAAAAAGATGTATCCACTTTTTCAATATCAGGGCCCCACAAAAAGAGGTTTTCTGGTGAAAAATTGTTGATTTTTGCCACAGCATTACAACACCTCTCTTTAAAATGTATATACAAAGACGAGGAAGTAAAAGATTGAGGGAATGTGAAGAAATAAAGCAATACCATAGAAAATGGTTGAAAGACATGGAAAGAATCATACTGTCTTATTCTTCCAAGAGAGAGCAAGACCAAAGAAGTGCTGGAGACAACAGGAACACCTTGTGGTCTAACCACCAGGCCCCACGGACTTCCATCCCTCAATATTTCATAACATTGATGACAAACAAACAAACAAGAATGATATTCATCCCACTTACCTTCTTGCCCAAGTGCCACACGCACTGCATTGCTAAACGTGATCCGGGTTTTGTGTGAACAAAATCTAAAATGTGAGGGCTGAATAAAGACAACACTTCTTGTTTATCCTCTTGAGAGCATTCCTCTATGAAATGCAGAGTAACTTGACACAATAAAGCTGAGAAGTTGCCCCTGAAACCAAATCAATGTTTTTTATTCATTCTCTTCACACAGAAGATTAAGTTCTAACTAACAATAATGTTCACCTTACTTGGTAGTCACTTTCACAATGTTCTCCTTAATACTCTCAAAAACCGCAGCTTTGTTTTCAGCATTTAAATGGCTTAAAATGTTGGGTATACTTCCAGTAGCTGGTTCTCCTACAGTTAATAACAAGCTGCCAAAAAATTCTTTTTCCATAGATATCTTTTGATCAGGTGATGCTATTTGTGCGTAAACATGATCGACAAGAGGAGCAGAGGCCTAACAAAAGGGAATGGAAGAAGAAACAATTAGCACATTTTAAAGCCATATCGCATCAGCATGCCAGTAACTTAAGAAGAAGGAAAACTCATTGAACTGGATCTATTCCTTTGAATGCACTTGAATATAATGAAAATAATTTTAAGGAATAGGTTAACATCTTATCTCGGTAAGCTGTAAAATTAATGATTTGTTTGTAAAAACAGTCAACAAAACTTTTTCAAATTTTATTCTTTTGACATTTTCAATGTCGCATGTGTTTTTCAAAAACTCTAGTCCAGGTTTATTAAAAAAAATGTAGTAAAAAATTTAAAACAGATAGCATTTTATATAAAAAGTCGATATTATAAACAAAGGTCTATAGATGCACACAGGTTTAACAATGATGAAAAGTTTGTTCACCTTTAAACACACCCTCAGGCATAAATGAAGGTATTTCTCAAAATGCAGTTTCCTCCAATACTGTTTAAACCAGCTTTGGTCATAAGAAATATAAATGACAAGTAGGTTTTAAGGCATTGCCAAGCTTTTTAACTTTTGTTACTTACTGAATTGGTCATCAGCTTTACAATACTGCCCTTCATTGATTCTAAAACTTTTGTTTTCCACTTCCCATCGCAATATTTCAAAATGCTTTTAATAATGAAAGCAGAAAATTTTTTCTGCATCATCTCGGTGAATTCTGGAGCCAGTTCATCACAAATTGATGTTCTCACAGACTGTGATCCAAGCCTTAATAAACCCTGTACAATCCTCGATGTATCGTGGGCATAAATTAACTGCAAAACAATATTCATATACCAAGTTGATCATTAAAAAAATTGAAAAATGTAAAGGGTAAAAGTGATAGGGAAATGGCAGTGGAGTGGGTGGAAAAACTATGAAAACAGGGAGAGAAAAGTCACCTTATTTACCTTATTTAGCTGGTTTTGTACCAGGCTGTGAAGTTTAACAATTTCTTGTGCTCTTTTATCCACAGGAAAGTTTTCATGACGAGCCATTTCCCAAATCTTTTTTACTTGCAGTATGATTTCAAAATGGGTCTGTTTCTTCTCTTTTCTCACTCTCCGAATTTTAGAAGACTCCTTCTTAATTTCAACCCAGTTGGGTTTGCCTGGAGAAAATACCATTTAATTTGCAGATAAGAACTTCGAAAACAGTATAAACTAATGGAATAGCCTAGACATTACACTTCAGAACTTTCCACATGTTTAATGAAGGTTTTCAATTCTTCATGTTCATTCGAGTACAACAATAAAAGTCATCAAAATTTAAGTAATAAAAGTGATACCGAAGGCCTAAGGACTCCGCAGCCTACTCTCACAAAAATCTTGGCTGTTCAGGTGATTTTTTTGTCTGGAAATTACAAGCAGATCCTATTTTGATAATAGACAGATAAGAAGGTTTCTTCAAAATTAGAGTATTGTCTCATATTCAGGTAAATACGGTATTATTTATGCAGGAAGGTGTATCTAAATTCAGAAACAAGGAAAGAATACAAATATGAAACAATGTTAAGACAGCAAATCTGTTCTCAGAAGTTCATTGCAATCACAACACCAAACACAGACACAAACTATAAACAGCTCAACCATCAAAAGGCAAGTACCAACAATTTAAAAAATCTGAGCTAGAGAAGAAATAACGGCAAAAAGGGCAGTGTGACAGTCTTGAAACTGAAACAGCAGTTAGAAAGTGACCCTCAACTAGCAGTAGCAGTGGTAGTAGTATTTTTTACATTCTGCATTTTAATTTCTAACGACCTAATGATGCAACTAATTTAGGCACAAAATGTGTTTGTTTAAGCTCTAAGCCCATTTTGATGAGTATTCAAATGTTATGTTCTTAAGTCAGACTGAACTGAGTGTCTCTAAACATCCTTGGATACCACTCGTCCTATATTGTTGAATAAAAGTTTAAGTCCCTCTTCATTGCATATAATACTGACCCATAAATGTATCAAAATCATATATTAAGTAGTTACCTGAAGCAGTCAGTTGAACTTTATCAAAAATACTGCCTGATTTTTTAATCGTTCTTAACTCGGGCTTCATAAATCTTGGTAATTTTTCTTTTGCCCGTCTCTCCCTCTTAGTAATATTGGATTCGGATTTGCTCTGCCTTGAACTTTCAGGTGGCATGCTTTCAGATATAGAAAATCTCACTTTCTTCGAAGTGCTTTCTTGACTGTCTATTGTGGTCTCCCCAATAGCTTTACGTTTTTTAGGGCGATTTTTGTAGGACTTGCTCAATTTTCCTTGACCTTCATGGTTCTGTTTTACAGAAACTCCTGCAATTCGTGACTTCTTCGCCATAATTATTTCTGCAACAATCAATTTTTAACACTTTTAGAAATTCATGTCCCCCAAAACATTTTATCATCATACTACTACATAAACCGCAATTCACATTATCAACACCAACAGCATGGATTATGGAGATTAGAGTCCAGAATGAGTAAGGATAAAAAATAAATTTCCTAAACTAATTGACATGAGAACAAACAATCTCCCCTGGTTTATTGATGAATAGTTAGTATTCCAAATATTTTAATAAAAGGGGTTCTTGTTACCTATGTTTTTATTTATCATAGAGCAACTTTTGATGGCATAGCCATCATCATTAGATCTAACACAAAACAGATTTAAAACATAAATTATAAAACAATATTTACGAATAAGAAAACTTTAGTAAATACAGTACTATTCATGTATATTTTTATTTTAATGTTGGGGTAATGAACACGAAATAACAAAATAAAATAAAAAGAGGGACAATAAGATTTATTATCACACTACAGGCAGTAATTTTATTTAATCTATAAGCAAGAATTGAATTAAATTAAAGCATGTAACAATTCAGGTTAAAGAACAAAAAGTAATTTGAAAGGCATATTGACCTGTTTTTTTACAAGCTGTCAGGAAGCTAGAAATTTGACTGTAGGGGTCCTGGTACGCCCAACGACTCAAGGACCTGTGTGTGAGGATAGAGATGGAGGAAGGTCAGTTACCTGTGTGTGGCTACTGCAACACACTGCAAGTGTAAGGATTTTAACTAATAATTTCATTAGAAGAGATGATCTACGCTTTCAAGTAAATTATAAAAAGGATGTTTATTATCCCTCACTGCCACAGGTTCAATGTTCACTTGCCAGGCCACAAGTAGACCTGTCAGTTTCCAATGTTTTATACCTTTAAGGCCCTATTTAAATATTAATTTCCTTCCACTCTTTGATTTTCTCTAAAACCGTTTTAATACATGTTAATTATATAGTTTAAATATAATAGTTAAGTAGTAATATTTTTCTGAAAAATAAAGAATAATGAGAAAGAGAAATCAATAACTGAATCAGTATTAACGCAAACAAAATAAATTTATAAAAAACTCACAAAAATTATAAGATCAATTAATGAAAGTAATAAACTGACAGTAACTCTGCAGAGTGCAGATCACTGGTTCTGAAGATTTTATCTTTGTTATATAAAGACCCAGGGACATCCATCATGACAATGAAAGAATCTTTCAACGGACATATTTCATCAGAATTAAAAACTAATTAAAATGTATTGTCAGCTTGAAATTACACTTAACCCCAATTGACAACTGCTTATACCAAGGAAAAACTAACAGTAAAACAGGAATCCACATGAAGGCTTCAGAGGCCTACCATATGTAAAATAATAAAATTGTTCCATAAGGAAATGTTGATCATAGGGTTTGGTTGAAGTAAGTGACATATGATAAAACATTAGTTTGCCTATTTAATATATTGTTAGTCTATCCTCAGGGTTGGTGTAATAACAAAGACAACACTAAATATATCCTTATACTAATTAACACTATATACAATAATGACAGACCCTCGTACTGTGGCCACTCCATGTGCAGTTGTGTTGGAATCCTGCCAAAATGTTGAGAGGATGTAACTATCTACGTTCCTTTAGTAAGGCATGTACATTTTGTGATCATGTTAATGTTAATTTGTACAAAGATATATTTGGTGTCCTTGTCTGTCTTTACACCAGCCTTGAAGATGGAATAACAATACTCTGAAACGTCGGCAAATTAATGTTTTATATTTCTAACTCGCCAAATTCCTTGAGTGACATTTCCTAATTCTACAATGGTTAATGTTGTGGCATTTATGTTTTAAACCTGTGCCAAAAATGCTGTTTTAATTCTTCAATGTTAAAAACAATTAAGTACACAAATGACAAAAATTACAAGTATTCAAGATAGATACACTAAAACGCTCATACAAATCATCGATAACTTACGATTAGAAACTGAGTTTATGAAAATAAGTTATCAGGGGTTTTCGTATATAATTACCCGACGCCACTGCACAGAAAACCAACGAACCCGGAATTACAGAAACACACACATTATATTTGGATTCGTAAATCGCTTGTAACACATGATTCTCCTTTGATTGTATAACATCTCACCGCAAAAGTAGGCATTCAAGCTTTCAAATTAACAACCTGAATACCACAAAATAGTAAATAAAATCCAAACATTACCTTAATGGTTCCCCCACGTGTTCCCTGATTTTGACTTAGCTTGACCACGCTTTCGGTACACGCTGGTCGTGCCGGGTCGTGCACTGGTCGCTGATAAAAGGGGGGAGGGGCTCTTGGGCATCGAATGCGACTTCAGCCAATAAACTTCAGCCATCAGTTTGCGTCAAAATACTAGTGGGAATTTTAAATGAGGCCAGAAACTAAAATCATCTCTTTACAAAGTTGGTTGTGAAAGTGGGTTGATTGAAAGAAAACACGCCAATAGATTGAAAATGTAAATTTATTCCTCGCAACACAATATGGATAATCAAATAGATTTTAAGAAATTTCTAAAAGATTACTTTGTAAACGTATACAAATTGCTTGAATGTAAGAAACGAAAAAGAAATACGAAATAGAATATAAATTCTAACTTACATTTCATCCAACTGCTTTCAAGCACATCTAAAATTACGTTCACGAAGCACAGGGAATTCGAAGCGGACGACTATGACAACAAATTACACAAAAAATATTCATATTTTCGAAAAATTGAACATGTTCTTATTTAAAGATCTGATTTTGATGACCACATTTCATTAAAAAAAATAATATTTACAATTGTAGTAGTAGGAAGACGCCGAAAAAAAATTAATTTCTGCAATTTCCGACAAATCGGATTTTTCAGAAATTGGAAATATTGAAAAAAATTTCTGCGACTTTCTACAATCTTCAGCCTTTTTTGTGTAATTTGGGGTCAATCATAGTCGCCCACTTCGAATTTCCTGTGCTTCGTGAACGTACAGAACAAAATTCTCTAATTGGAAGGGTAATTTATGTCCCTCACTGCCCCCCCCCCCTAAACAATGTTTTAGTTTAGTAGTTTAGCAGGCCGGCCCTGTGAGGGCAGCACTAAGACACAAACAGCTGGTCTTTACATTCACTACTCATTTACTTTACTACAATTATTTACACTGATAGTCGTAGCGTTTCGTATGCAGTTTAAAGCCACTGGCCCCAGTTTGAGCAGCTCATATCGAATATAATTTAGAATTTATTCTACTTAGAAATAAAACTTCAGGAGGTAAATGCCTGTCAAATCAACTTCGGCGAACACGCTTTCGTTTTGGCGATTCTCTAAAAGGATGATGAGGCCTCAAGAATACAAACAGTTCTTAGTGTTAGATTTCGAGGCAACTTGTGAAAGGGGCGCGCAAATCGTACCTCAGGTGAGCGGAGCCAAAATCCAATTTTATCAATATTCAAAATATTGGGCGCAAGAATTTAGTTCGTTCATCAATGTATTAGAGAATTGTAGTGTTTCAGTTTATGCTTTTTGATTGATTGAAAAAAATGATGAATAAAGATTTGGAAAAAAAAGAGAATCACCTTTGCTCTTTCTTGTAGGAAATAATTGAATTTCCATGTTTGAAAGTAAATGCATCATCTCTTGAAGTTGAATCAGTTTTTCATCATTATGTGAGACCTACAAAACCCCTTACATCATTTTGTACAGAGTTAACTGGAATTACGCAGGTAAGTGGTCAAGAAATGTTTTGAGATTTTTTGATGTGATTTTTAGAGAAATTTGAGTTCATAAAATTCAATAGTACATATAAATTTTGAAGGAAATGGTTGATGATGCGCCAGAGTTTGCAGAAGTGTTTCATAGTTTTCTGCAATGGGGAGAAGAGCAGCATATGTGGGATTTACCAAGACAAACTATAATTGTCACTTGTGGTGATTGGGACTTACGAATCATGTTACCCAATCAGTGTCAGCAGTCAAATGTTACAATTCCAGTATTTGCAAAACAGTGGATTAATATTAAAAAGGTAAGGTAAATTTACCTACTTTGAAAAACTAGAAAGACTGTAAATGAGGTGTCTAGTAATTTTTTTAATACATGTTCTTGCTAAAAACAAACATGATGTGCAAACCATATGTTCAATTGTAGTTGACAGTGTCTATTAATTTAAAGTTACTTGTGACAATTGTTAAGATTAGAAGAACAAACGATTTTATAAGCCATTCAACACAAAGTTGTGCAAATAATCAAGTGAGGTGATGGGAAGAAGAAAGCACTTTGTGCTTCAGCTGTCGTAGATATCAGAAATGCTTATAACTCTGCCAGTTAGAAGAAGTGGTTATTAAAGGTCCTACAAACTTCAGAATTTGATTTGATTATATTTGTGGATTTTCTTGTAGTTATTTAAATAGTCATGGAGCTATTTACACAGACCTGAAGAATGTGATTTTTATGATGTGTGTTGTAATTATAAATATCAGTGTAGCAAGAAAATATGTTCCCATGTTAAGTCAATTTTGACAAAAATTACAAATTTGTAAGTAAATAGCCACGGCGATCGTATGATTCAAAGCTCAATGAAAATCTTCCTGGAGTAGAGTAGTTGGTATTTGCTTATTATTTGTATAATTTTCTGCAATGTAAGTCTGTGTACTATGGAATGAGCTTAGATTTAGATTTATTTAGTCAAAAAAACAGGAAAAACTGTATGGTGGAGAAGATCATGTGTGCAAGTTTTCTTTAGTTGCAGAATCCCTTCCCGTCATTTTAATTATATGAATAGTTGAAAGATGAGTAAAAGTTAAAGATAAATAAATAAAAATAAAATTTTAAAAACCTGAGGTAAGCAACATATAACAAACTAGAAATTTTGTTCAGCTTCCCAGAATATTATGCCATATCTAAGAAAAGAAAGTACATTTGTTAAAGAATACACACAACAAGCTGCGTTTAGGGTGACAGAATTTCAAAGAATTTTGAATTCATAATTTGAATAATAAGTGTTTAATTCAGTTATATGGATATTCCTTGTGAGGTTTGACTGAATCGGGAAACAAATTTTGTTACTACAACATCAGCCAATTGCATATTGCTAATTTTCAATGGCATATGTGATTGCCGGTTTGAAATGCAAAAGTGCATAACAATACATACCCCAATACAATATTATTTGAAACGTTGCATTTAAGATCTCATTCGTTCACAAACTATCAAAAACTCCAATTTTTAAGTCGAATCTATTTTCAAGTGGTACATTACTACCTATGATATTTTACAAAAAGTAGCTATATAATTGTGTAAAATGACAGAAAAAATTAAGGTTGTGATTCAATTCCTTCTTTGAGAAGTAACTCAGAAAATTCAACTTGGTTCATTTGCATCCCATAGATTTGTTAGCAAATATTTCCCAAATAAAACATATTAGGTAAATATCTTGATTTGGTGGTCAGAGTATACTTAATCCAAGTAAATGCCTTCAAACGTGAAATATAGCCATTTGTAAACCAGGTACAATACAAACTAGGAGTGCTACAGCCAGGCACAGGTCCAAGAGGAAAAATAAGGGAAATTCCCGTACTCCCAAGATTTTTCTGTAGCTTTTAATTTTAACTTGTCACGAAACTTTTAAGCAAAAATATTTCGGATTATCATTAAAACGAATAAAATCGTATCGCAGCATGAGTTGAGTGTAGCCTGCGGCATTTTTCAAAATCTGTAATGACATCTTCGACCAAAACATTTTTAATTTCCCATCGCAAAATGTGTCTCTGGATTTGCGCTTGCTACAACACATTTTCTCGCATGATTGAAAATAGTTGCCCAATATTAAAATGTAATTTATGTCATACTAAAAACTCAGTAATAACTTAAGTCTAATTCAAATGAATCGCATCTTGTGCTTAGAGTAGTCATTTAGCATTGTAGTCTTACAGAAATAAAACGAACATGAATAATTTTAAATGGTTCATTTAGAACACAGTACAGTAAAGAAAAATAATTTCACACAAGCCTACCTTTATTAAACTTGAAGTGAGTTTTCAATTTTTTAATACCATAATTAGCAATGTTAGCGAACTTATGTATAGAAGTGTGTTTGTTTGAAGTTAAAATTTATTATCTTCCTTCAATCTATTTCCTTTTAATATATTATCAGACAGACTACAATGGGATGAATTCAAACAATTTTAAAACCTCCGTTTTGCTATTTTCCGATCTGACAACGCCTGAAACATAGCGCGCGAAATTAGAATTTTCATTTCCGAACATTATTTTGCAATTTTCAGAAATGCAGAGTGCCGAAAATAGAACCATTAGCACTATCTTAACTATTCTTTGCTACATACAAGGAAAAAACCAAAGAAAATTTAAAGCCGTTTCTGAGAAAATTATTGAAAATGATTTTAAGAGTGCCTATGTTTTATATAAAATTACTCAAAAGCAGTGACAGTTATGTAGCACCTTGGCTTTATGTTGAGCAAACTTTTTGTTGTGTCAAGTGTTCTATGAAAGACAATTTGAGTCCTTCACATAAGATATTTTGGAATTGTAGAATGTTGTTCGTTACAATAGTTCATCTTAAAGAAAGTGAATTTTTGCTGACGTTTTATGTGCTTTTGTAAGAATAACTTTGCTGAAGTTCAGAAGTAAAAATGTTGAATAAAATGAGATCGTAATTTAAATTTGTTATGTAATTCAATTATTGTTCAGCCGTATTCCAACATTTTTAGGAATAATGATAAAAATCTAAAATGGGCTAAATCGACTTTTCAAAACTAAAATGGTGTTTATAAAATTCTGAAAGTCCAGGGCGTAAGCGTGTACTATCTACATGAAATCAAATTTTAAACTAGTGACACTACAGAATGGCACAAACTTTCTCGTAGTAAAGTTTTATAATTTCCTTATGTGGACTAGCTTTACGGTCTTGCCCCATCCTCTTCCCAGCTATTGGTCTAAAATATATTTTTTAACATTTTCTCTACTTTTCGGATTTTTAATAGTAGAACCGAAATATTACTTTAAGAATATTAAAGAAGAGTAAAACTTCAACAAAAATAGAAATTTCTATTGAAAAATGTGGAGCCAATTTTTAAGAAAATGGCGTTTGAGCATTACTGTAAATGCAAAATTTGAAACTCTCACAATTTGGAGTTTTTGAAAAATTTCATTTAAAGCCATTTGACACCCTCCCTCACAAATCCAATAGTGTTTACAAATCATTGGAAATGCGTAAATATTTAAAAAATACATTTGGGTAATATTTGGAAAAAAAACAAAAGCAAATTTTAACAGAAAACTGTTGAGTTTTCGAGAAACTATATGATTTTATTTAAAGCACATATACTCATAAATACAATAATGTAAATCAACGCTAATGTATATGTTAACATTGTGGGAGACGAGTCAAAAAAATTACAGTTTTTTAATTTTTAAAACACAAATGAATAGAATATGGCGCTTGTATCATCTTATAGAGTGCATTTAACACAATCCCTATCAAAAGTTGAAAGAAAACATTTGGAGCTGTTTTTGAGAAAATCTTGTTTTTGTATTAAATTGCAAGTGTTTCACTCATTATTGTGCAAAAATACTAAAAGTTAAAAAGGAAATGTACATGACCTTAATGAAAGAACTAATTATGGACAACATATTTCATTTGAAAGAAAAATCTGTATCTTCAATTTTGTAGTTGTAGAAAAACCCTATAAAATGCAAACTTGTGCAATTTTCATAAATTCTGAGTTAACTGGGAAAATTGGATCTATGTCACCTTTTCAAGTGTATTTTTCTCTATTCTAACAAGAAATATAAAAAAAAGAACAAAAAGGAGCCATTTTTGAAGGAAAAAAAACAAACTTGTGTGAACTTTCATGTTAAGTAGGTACTCACAAATTTTGAAAAGCATTTGTTAAAATCTCAGCGCCTTGGAGTTTAGCCGGATTGACCAGGGAATATCTAATTTAGGAAAAATTGTATGTATGGTTTAGGTGCTAGGGGTGTTTACTACATTTTCAAAAAAGGAAAACAACACTTTTTTGGTATCAGGAGACCCTATGATATGTATTTCCATTGAAATCTCGAAGTCTAATTTCCTTAGCATTACATAATTTTCTCTATGTATATTGTTATGTATTTCTGTACGTATATAGGTATATATACAAGAAAGTAAAAAGAATAACATCTTGAAGTAGTGAACCAAAGTATGAAGTCTTGCAATAATGTAAATGAAATTAAAATAAAATAATCTGAGCCAGTAACTGAAGCAACTGCAATTGAATTGTGAATTTCATCCTGACATCGAAAGTTACCAAATGACCTTTTATGTATATTCTCCAGTTTTTAATTACTGTAATATAAATTCCTTTTTAAATTGTTGTCTTCCTTTTTTTTCTGTTTTAATAGTGTTTTATTAAATAACTTCGTGGATTTTTAAAACCTTTTTCCAGGTATTTGCTCATGTGATGCATTTTTATCCAAAGAAAGATCTGACGGATATGATGAGAATTCTTAAATTACCACTTCAAGGCAGACTACATAGTGGAATAGGTATTTTTATTTTTCTTATAAATTTGAATCTTGCACATTTGTCGTAGATGGGTGTTCATTTATTTTTATTTTCAGATGACTGCAGGAATATACACACTGTCATGTGTGAAATGATCAAACGTGGATGTGTTTTGCAAGCAACATCTTATCTGGATGGATAAAGATTGTATTTTATTGAATGCATTGTTTGCATTTCCTGAAAATCTGCAGGCTGTGACGTGGTGCCATATCTCATGTAATCTAATGAAATTTATATCGTGTCAAGAATTTGTGGAGTGAGTTTCCAAAATGTGTCAAAAAAATTGCTATACCCATTCACTGCAATAGCCCTTTTGAGAGGTGGGACTTTTGAAGAAATGTTTCACATATTGGTGAATAACTTATTTTGAATTACTTGTCACTTAGTACCTGTTTAATCAATGAATATTATGTTTCAATAAATATTTGTATATTGAATAAGATGAGATAGGCTAATAATGCAGACAAAAATTAACATATTATATTATATTATATTATATTATAAGTCTTGATCATAAACGTTTCGACCCTAGTATGGGGTCTTCTTCAGGTACAGAGTAACACAAAAATGTGTAGGTCAGTCTTGGTATGGCAGCACAAAGTTCTTTTAGGATATAACATCAAAGTAGAGTCGTCAAGATGGTATAACATGTAAACATCATGGAAACATCAGGTATATTAGTGATATGACATAATATGGATGCCATCAAAATATAACATTTTACAGTCACTCAATGGTAAAATGAAGGGTTGAGCCCAATGAAAATTGGGCCTGTGACATTTTTATTAATGTACTTTGCTCTATTTCAATAACAAAAGAAAGAAAAAAAACAACAAAAATAACAAATACTGAGGCCATCTTTGAGAAAATTTTTAAAATGTCTACATGTTTAGTAACGGTGAAAATGAACAGTTAAGTTTTGTATTCAAGGGGCTCTGACATTACTGAGATCGATCATGGAGTGTGGTGAAATATTGAAATATTGGTGAAGTAATGAAAACAATGCATTCATCTTTTTAATTGAATTGTTTTATAAGTATTGTGTGCTATAGGATTCTCTGTATAGTTTGTGAATTTTAAGGAAATTGTATTCAGAGATATTGAAGCAAAGGTATATTAAGGAGGAAAGGTTTTGGAGCAGTAGTACAAAGGCGACTTAATTGTGATGAACATCATAGTGATGCACGATTTTAGTGTTCATGGAATCATCTTATGATCATGTGTAATTTTTTAAAATTATTGTGTTTCAAGTACTTCTGTGAAGAGAATATATTAGCAGTTTTTACCTGTTAATTAATATTACCAGTATTAAAATACTGCTAGTGCCGGTCAGGATGGCCAAGATCGCTAAGGCAGTAGTTCCGAAGCGATCTCTGACCGAAGGATCACAGGTTCGAGTTCGGGCATGGTTGTATTGTGTTCGTCCGTTCACTCCCTATCATCATATCGTGTCATCCTCATAGTTACTATACCGTTACTCGCAATAGGGGTCGCTAATGAGCTAGAAGTTGATGCTGTCTTAAAAAAAATGCAGACCAAATTTAAATGCGAAAAAAAAGTGCTGAATTTATTTATTTGTTATACTTTATAAACAATTTTTATATTAGCCAGTTCATCCTTTAACATCAAGATTACCATATCAGATCACAGCATAAAACAAATGGCTGCCATTAGAAAACTAGGTACAATAAAAAAAAAAAGTATATTTTTGAACAGCCAAAACAAGAAAATTTTTGTACAAAGTATGAATTTTTTTGAGATCAATCGACCAATTTATTTAATTCTGGACCACTGAAACTGGATTGACCCTATGTTGCAATCCATTATAATTTTACATAACTATTGAAAATAATATGAGAAAGTTGGTATGTGATCTTGTAGTTACCACTAATTTGTGTGTTCAAATTAAGGTCTTAATTGTTGTGAAATACTGTTACAACTATTCATGAACACAATAAAGAACTGCGAAGAGTGTAATTTGATTGATGAATGCTTATCTCTTTGACCATGGGTATTCATTCATAAATAGATCATTGTGCTTTACTTCTGGAAACAAATTTAACTTTTAAAGATTGTTTATAATTCTCTAATGTAATAAGTATGGCAAAGACTATTTTCGTATCAGCGAATGTTAAGTTACCATAGGTTTTCTTTAATAATGATTTTTGCCGGAGTAATGAACTTTCTGAGTAACTCACAACAATATTCTTATTTACGAGTTACTTGCAAGTAATCCACAAATCAAATAATTTGTGGATTGGATTAACACTCATTGCTGTAGGTTCTAATTCACAAATTATGGTCATCTGAGGATTGCGGGATTCAAGGTTTACCCTTTTTGAATGTTACTGTAAATTTGATTGGCTGTGGAATATCTCAATCTTGTGGTACAGTTTAGTAATTCAAAGTCACATGCACTTCAAGTTCTATATCCAGTTTCACATCATATTGGTTTGCACACTCAATGAAATATCATGGCTCCACATGCCAATTCATTTAACATTTCTGTTGAAAAATTATAATTTTCAAATACTTCATTGACCCACAACAATATTGTAGGCAAAGGTACAATTGCAAAAAAAGGACATGTGAGAAACTGCAAACTGATTTCATTGTTGTGTTGTGTTGTGTTGTGTTGTGTTGGGCAATCAAAGAAAAAATGTAAAAGCATGAGAAGAATTGTGTAAAAAACTGGATTGAGAATGAAGTTTGTATATTTGTGATGAAGGAACTACAATGCTGTCCACTCCTTTGATTGTGAGATTGTCTGCATCTTTCATCCCGCCTGTAGAAGCATACGGCTGTGATATGGATTTGGACACAAAAATACTTGATAAAGTTTGGATTTTGACAATGAATTGTACCCGAAAATGGATTCAGTGCAATTAAAAAAATAATTTCACTCAAATGGGTGCTAAGACCATTGTTCTAATAGAAATCAAGTTGGTTTAAATAGATTATTCAATTGGAAGTAGTAGCTGTGCAATTTTTAGATTGAAATTTATGTAATAAAAAGATACGATTAACCATGCATGCTAACCAAACAATAAAATATTCTGCATAATTATAGTAAAAATACATTGAAAATAATCTGGGCTTGGGTTTTGGCAGAGCTATTTTTCTAGCTTCTTCAGAGGACAGAAAATGGAATGTTATTTTTGTTTTGTCTGACATACTGTAGTTGCTGCCCTAAGGAAAACCACAAATTCTGGCTTTGATGTTATCAATCACACCAGTGGGTGTCATCAAATTTTCTGTACCAGTACAATTTGCTATAGGCTAAATAGTATACACTTCCCACTTACATTCGTCGTTAACTGGGTAATTCCTAGGCATTTTAGGATCCAATGGGTTCCCTAGACTTTCCCACGGGACATTGAAGTTTCTTTCCTGCATTTACTACCAGCAATGCTAAATTCCTCCATCGTAATTTTCAAGTTGTGTGTAAAGTGTAATAGAGCTTCTGAGAGCAATTAACGAGATAGTCAGTAGATCGCCTCGAGACATGATCCCCAGGGTCTTGCGGGCACTGACTAAATCTTGGCATAGCCTAATAAGTTCCAACCACCTCTGGCAGGATTCTGGCGTTGGGTACTCCATGAAGTTGGACTGCCAGAGGATGACTGGTTGGTATTTTACCACCTTTTCCTCCCCTGCTTTCAAAAGGCTAGACCCATCCTTGTGGCGGACAGTCACATCGACCACGTGGACCCCTTGACGTCTTTTTATTACCAGGTCAGGTTTGAGTCTGACCCCTTCAGCCATGGAGATAGTTGCTTCCGTGGACAGCACAGTGTCCAATTTCCTGAGCATCTTCCCTTCTATGAAGTTTTTGATCTTGACATGATGCTTTATGCTTGCTAAAATGGTGTCCTATACTTCCAAGAACAACAGTTTTGTTGGTATCCTTGAAGCACTTTTCTGGTCAAGTGAATGAAATCACACAAATACCAGAAGTATAGAAGAAGAAAGAGGAGGTGCTGGCCCATGTATTATTTCTATGGGATTTTACACATTGCTGCAGCGAACAGTATTGTCCTTTTCAAATGGAACTCCAAAAGTGGTTCTTACTCAAACGATGCTTGCTCAATTTTTTAAAAAAAATTAGCACTGGCATTGATGACACCATTAATGCAAAAAGAAAAACTGAAAACGCATGTCTACCAAGAGAACTTCAGGCTACTATTTGTAAGGAGCTGAAAAGTGAAAAGGCCATAGCAATAATGTAACTTCCAGAAGAAGAGAAGTTGTGACTTTTGTGACAAGACTAGACAGAAAAGGAAATGAAAAGTTGAAAATGCAGTAAATTTCTATGTTATAGAAATTGGTGTTATGTTCTTGTTTTTATGATTCTGAGTCAGATGAGGTAAAAATATAAATTTTATTATTTTTTGTTGTGACCGCATAATTTTTTTGTCTTTTTTTCCAAGTCTGTGATTATGGTACACACAATTTTTTGTTTATTTCTTGTTTAATATACTGAAAGTAATTTGAAATACAAATTATTATTATTCTTTCATTCACTTTCCAATTTGAAAATAGTCGCACAACCTCGGGTGGGTTCCAACTCTTACATTTCCAACATCCATTTCTTACATCCAACCTTACCATTTGAGGTATAAAACCCTTCCTTGCCGTTTGAGGGATAAATGTTCTAGATGTTTATGTTAAGGTATGTTTTGTGCTTCAGTGAATCCTCGGTACATGAACTGGAAAATGTTCTTCTATTTCTTGGGGATTAAAAAAGAAATCGGGAAGCTGAATCAGATAACTATAATTTAACAAATGAAAATGAAATGTAAGATATTAAAATTCAATTTTGTCTTATGAATTTCAAAATTCTGTTACATTTTATAATATGCTTTAATTGACTTTATAGAAAGATCAATTAAATGTATCTGCCTCGTAATGTCTGATTCCACTACTTCTGTGTATGTTTCTGTTAATTTTTTATATGTATAATCTGAACTTTATTATGATTCCAATATCAAAAAAGCTATTAGAATATTCATTAATAACTGCCCATACATAGCAAAATGTAATTTCAAGAAAAATGAATTGCACCCTCTTTCATGTAATTGAAATGGGATACTTAAAAGTTTGCTGAAATACAATATCTCTTTAGCAATGTTTACTATGGGTTTAGATTTAGATTTATTCAGTCACAAGAACAGTAAAAACTATGTGACGTAGGGGGGAAAAGATTATCTGCGCACTATCTTGAGTTCCAGAATCCCTTTGCGTCATTTTAACTGTAAGTAGTTGAAAGGTGAGCAAAAGTTTATCATAAGTAAATATAAATAAATTTTTAAAATCGCAAGATAAGCAATATTTGAAAAATGTTCATTTTCATTTTCAAGTTATAGAAACGGTACACAAATTACATGTATAATTTTTCTGCATTTCCAAGAAAATCAATTGCAACTCGCCCTTACCTATACTCTTACCATTACAAGCAAAAGGAGAGTTGAACAAAACGTGCACATAGTGAAGCTACATTTACGTCCAGAAGCAAAACAAGGGGCCATCTCAGCATTTGCTCAATGGATCAGGGACACCAGACAAAAACCTGATTGAGATGAGTTGCAGATGTTGTCATTGTAGATAAATTGAACAGTTTTTGTATTGAGAACAAACTTATGGAATATTTTCTTTGTAAATAGGAAATGCCAAGGGCAAGTTACCAGGATCAGCGACAGTAGCGGCAACAGGCAATAGCAGCAATGGTAGCGGCGGCAGCAGCGGCAACATTGACGGTGGCAGCGGCAGCAGGAGCAGAAATTGTGGGAAAACACAAAATTAACACAAGAATTCGAGTTTAAGAAGGAAGAACATGAGTTCAGGCTGCAGTGATTATCTACAAAACGAGAGACTCGAAAAGCAAAACTGACTACTATCAAGTTATGAAAGAGAGTAAAATGTTTCTTAAGAAAATTAAATTTTGTGTACATGTGAAATGAGTGATACAATCCAATATGGACCCGTCCTGGATTTATTTGTTTTGTTTTTATTGATTTGAGTTTGATCATTGAGTTTTTCTTTTGTTCTTCAACTGCTTAACAGAGCAAGTAATGAATAGTATTGATTACATTGACTTACCATATCTTATTGTGTTTGTAACTTAGCACTCAATAATATTTGTAAAAAGTATTAGTCAATAGTATTTGTACATTAAATTTGTAAAAAGTTCCTGTTATTCCCCAGGAAAGTAAAGTTATTACAATACTATAGTTTATTGAAATAATTACAAATAGTTATTAATAGCAATAATTTTTATGTACTTATTACAAGTGAAAAAAGTAACTGAATTTAACAAACAGGCTACTTAGCCTTTTTCTGTATTCTTTCTTTAAACCCTTTTGATCTATTTCAATTCATTTGATAGCTATTTATTGAAAAGATACCATTTGAAATGTTCTCTATTTATTTGCATGATTAAGTTAACATTACTGACTAACATTAAGTTTGGCTGTTGAAATTACAGTAAAACCCCATAACTAAAACATAAATAAAAATTTACTGTATATATTTTTGATGTTTTCATGGAGCATGTCCAAATTAAGTGAGACATACAAATATATGGAAGAGAAACTGATAATTCATTAATGCACTTGACTAACCACTTGTCTTATCTATTTCTTTTATTAATTTTTTAGGGGGAAAATGGTGGTCCAAGAAAAAAAATATTGGTTTCCTGTCAAGCGATTATTTTCAATGTTGATCAGTACACCAACAATAGTGCAGATAATACACAGTAAAAATTTCAAGTTCGTATCTCCTGCAGTTCCTGAGATAATGGGTTTTCAGTATTAAGAATTTAACATGGATATCATAGGAGGAAACAAACCTTCAGAGAATAATGCATGTCTCATTTTCATTGAAATCCCTGAATTTTTGAAAATTGCAAAAGTTTTTTTCGCCATTATCCTACAACTACTTGTTGAAGGTATTTTTTTTCGTTACTTATAGAAACTGTTAGAAAGACATTGCTAAATAACGTCATGTACAATTTTTCGAAAATACAGCTCCAATTTTATCGTAAAATTTTCTCTTTCTTCTGGAAGAAGGGAAAAAATGCGGCTCCAATACCATATCCGGCGAACTGACTGTATTTTCGAAAATTGCAAAAATTTAGTGTTTTCTTTTGGAACAAGTAGAAATTCTTTACATGGAAAATGAGTAATGGTAAACAATAGAGAAACTGTCAATCACAGACACGTAGTGGATGTTCATGTGGACTGCTGCAACAAGGAAGGTGCTGGTTATGTAGCACAAAGTAATGTAGCCTACGACTATACTCTTGCCGCTGATGTCAATCCACTTTCATGATAGAATGTTTTTAAAACACAAAACTGTATGACAATCTCATTCAAATTGGGAGAAATAATTGTGGTATATATGTGAAATATAACATTTGTTACTGTTCAGGAGACCTGAATTGTTTGTATCTGCCACTGAGAGGTTGCGAGTTCGATGGCCGTCGCGTACGGATCAGCACTGGTTTTCCATGCGCTCCTCCGAGTCAGGATGGGAGATTAGGGATCATAGCGCCCCCCTTCATAACCGACAAACGCTAGTGTGCAGATGTCTGTAAATGCTATAAGGGACGCTTGTAGACTTGATAGGTTACACTGGTAAGTCATTTCAGGTGATAAAATATACACCACCGTATTCTCACCAGATGAATAGATATTTCCTATGGCATTTTGCTGGGAAAGGCTTCGTTTCTGCACAGCAGTTTCTTGACTTCTCTTCATGAATACCATCCAGAAAATCGTGTATACAAAGACTCGCAGAGCCGCGGGTAAAATTAAGTATTGCCCGAGAAAAAATCTTTTTATCGAATACAAATGAAGAAAAACGATAATTTGTGAAGACAATTGGTGTGCAAATTAGGACTTCTTTGTCGCACGCAGTCCTGTCATTCGCCCAATTTAAGGCCGTCGTGACACTAATTGGGCTGATGACCTCCCAAGACCCCGTTCGTAGGGCCGGACTTACTGTGGTGAGGGCCCCAGAGCCCCAATTTGGTAGGGAAATTACAGGGAAAATGTTAAAATCGCTTTAAAACTATTTATATTTGTTAATTTTGGGTAACTATATCATACATGCAATAAAGTAGTATGTTGAAGAGGAACTTTCCTCACCCTCGTGATGTCTTTGAAGAAAAATTGTTTTCTAAATTTGGCGTAGGATGGGGTGGCTTTATGCCATTTTTATAGCGCGTCGTTAAATGCTGCCCGATGTATTGCATAGTTTCAACTCTTCTTCGTGATTGAATCAAACAGTAAAGTTCAAAACGTTAATTAATGGATTTTTTTACGTTAAAAACTAAACATTCTGACATTGATAACAGAAAGCGTATAATTTCGATCAAATGCTTTTTAGTTGTGAAATAATGAGTCCCCTTTTTACTTTCTTGCCATTATGAAGAGATTTCGTAACAAGACTGATGAATCGTGTCCCAGAAACTGCGAATTTCCTGCAGAAAAACTTATTGCCTGGCCCTGGTAACGAAAAAGTGGATAAATCCCGTTACTAAATCTAGAAAAAAAAATTCTCTAACACGTGGTTTAGTCAGAATCCGTGTTTTGAGTTCTTGATACCGAAAAATCGATTGACGGCAAAACGTCTGTCCGTCTGAGGTCAACACTAGCGCCTAAACCGTTCAGCAGATTTTATTCAAAATTGATATTCCTCATTCGATCTCCCGAAGCCACGAAGAAGCTCGTGGCTTTGGGAGTTTCAAGCGAATATTTTATTTTTGAGGGCACTTTTCATGAAGCCTCAAAAAAGTTTCCAAAATTTATTGATCAAACTTCGTCTTCGGATAGCGTAAAGGACACTTAAGAGAATGTTTATCTCATGTACATTGAATTCTCAGATTTTTTTAAAATTCCAAAAGTGCAGTTTTTTTCGGGCGCGTCGCTACAACTATAATATTTAAGTAATAGATTTTTTTCCTTAATGAAATCCGTTTCTTAAGAGCGGATCTTTAAATAAGTTCGTGTTAAATTTTTGGAAACTGAGTAGTTTTCGTGTAATTTAGCACAAAATATAGACAATTTAAAAACTTTTTTGTCTGAAAAACCACTCAATTTTTTCTTCATTTTCCCCCACGGATGCTTAAAAGAACGTGCGGGTCTCATTTTCGTTGCAATATCTGAATTTTCGAAAATAGCAAATTTAGAAATAATGCGAGAAAGTTAGTGCTGTTGTATCACCATTACTTGATTTAAACTCAAGTGTCGTGAATGTTCTGCAATATATTTTCATATTTGTAAAAATGTCATCCGTGTTCTACGGCCATTTACAAAAGTTCTTGGATTTCTGCAAGACATTTATGCTTGCCGAATCATTTTCAATGGCGCAGTGACTTGCCAAGGAAACTGCTGTCCTTCATACTGCTTCATTGCAAAAATTTCCTGTTATGGATTGAGAAGATAAATTGCGATTGCTATTACTGGGGGATAATCACTGCATTAGTTGTTAATCATGCAATTTTACTATATACCAATTATACTAATTTTGCAACAAATTTTCCGAGTTACATGAGCACAATGTCGGAGATACAAAATTAAGAATAAAAACGCGGGAATACAGTAATGAGAATGCTGTGTCTCAAAGATGTAGTCGATAGCCCTACTCATCAGGTGCATTATGTATCCATCAACGCGTCTGCTAGAGAGGGCACAACACAGGTTAAGGCAATCGTTTTCTAATGGCGCGGTGGGACAAAGTCACCTGCGCGACACGAAGTGATCCCCGGTTTACGGAAATTGCTTTTGGTCGGGTTAGTGAAAAACTTACTGTAACAGACGACATAATCGCGATTTTGCTCTATTTTGTTGTTTTTCTTCTTCAAAAATTACATTTTATTTTTTGACATCTTTTAATTGTCTCAACATTGTTAATATTTACATTAAAGGTAATTTGTATAAATTATTGAATTTGTTGAAACAAGTACATCAGATGATGTCTTATGTTTCTCAAAAACTCGTACGTTTTCTGTGAAAATAAGCTAAAAACTCCACATTTTCAGAAACGCTCAATCTCCATTTTCTCAAACACAGCTCCAAATATTTTCTTCAAACGCTTTGTACTGAGAGTGCTAAATGCACTGTGTGAGGTGACATAAAAGCCAATTTGCTGTATTCTTTTGTTTCTTCAAGAAATACGTAAATGTATTGTTATAAAAATATCTATCATGCCATTAATATGCACATTTCCAGCTGTTCGTATACATTATTGCATTTGTGTGTAGAAGTGCTTCAAATGACTTAAGGAAGTTTTTCGAAAACTCAAAAAGTATGTGTTTCAAAAATTTAATTTGAAGGGAAAATCTCTATATTTAATGTAGTAATGGGAAGACCCTAAAAAATTCAATCTTTTGAAAATTTCAAAAATTCAGAGTTACCCGTGAAAATCAGACATATACAACCTTTATAAGTGTATTTGAAAATCGGACCTATGCAACCTTTAGAAGTATATTTTACTCTATTCTTAGAAGAAATTTTTAAAAAAGAAAAAAATGGAGCCATTTTTGAAGAAAATTGTGAAAATGTACTAGGGGCTTCAAGAAATTAATGAATAATTTTCAAAATCACAGAGCTTCGACTCTGGCCGAATGGACACGGGTTTCTTCAATTTGGAAAAAATCCAACGTATGGTTACTATTGTACTTCACATACACCATGCAGATGGACAGACATTTTGAAAAAAAATAAACTTTTTCGGTATCAGGGGACGCTAAAATGTGTTTCTGTTGAAATCTCGAAATCGATTTTTTGCAGCCTTACGTAACTTTCCCTATTGCTCCGTGTATTACTCCTCTCACTCACTCACGGCCGCGAGACCGAGACGTTGCCGGTAGGCCTGAACCCGTTAACGGGCTGTCGCGCCAAGTACATACATACGTATGTACTCCGTATATATCCGTATATACCTATGTATACGGTAAAGTAAAATTTGCCTATACTTCAAGAAAAAATATTCAAATTTTCGAAAAAGTTAATGAATCCTATTTCATAATCTAACTTTAAGGAACATATTTTATGAACGGAAAAATCTCTATATTTAATATTATAGTTGTAGGAAGACGCCGAAAACGTTTTGAAAATTCTCTTAAACATCCTTCAGACTACCCAACAACACAATTGAATCAAAATCAATGGCGCCATTTGTTTGAAAATATCCTGGGGGTTTCAGGTAAAGTACTTTCCAAAATTCATATATTGGTTTCAAATTCCAGGGGTATCGCGACAACAGTCTGATCGATTAGGGAATACCAATTTTGGAGAAAATTGGCAGAACAGTTTAGCCGCTAGCGTTATGCACAGACAGACGTTTTGCCGGCGGTATGAAGGACCCACAAACGAGGGATTCTGGCTAAACCACGGGAGGATTTTTTCTTAAATTTAGCAACTGGATTTATCCACTTTTTCGTTACCAGGGCCCACTAAAAAGCGTTCTTCTGTCGACATTTCCATTATTTCACACAGCATTACATAACTTTCGCATCTTAAAACCGGTATACACGGTACAATTTTCGTGCATATTCTCATTGGCAAGGCCAAAAGTTGCGCATACACGATCTG